CTTTTATTGCTATAATATGAAGAATTCACATTAATGGATAACCAAAAAGCTGGTAATATATATTTTACTTTGCTTTAAATTTCTTTTTCACATTTGTTATTTTTCTACTAGACAATGTACTAGGAAAGTGATGGAGTATATTGTGATGTAGAAATAAATATTCAATAGGAAAGAGAACAGCCAAGCTCTCTATGACTATGTTCATTTAAAGAAATCACCACGGTAAAATAAATGCATAGAAATAATCAACATTAGGAGAGATAAGCATTGCTAACAAGATATAATCTGTAACTTATTAATACAGTCATCCGTTTAACAAATCTTAGAGTATTTCTAACACCGTGCATTGTACTAGGTTCTGTTAAATATTAGAGGTCAGGAAAATGAGATGACTGATAATGAATTATACTATATTGCTGTGAGTTATTCTATAGGAAACGAGGCACAGTTGTAGAATATGAAAAGCAGAGGTCACAAAAATATGCTTACCAAATGGCTAAGGTTAGTTGGAATACAAAATTTGGATAAAATGAAATAGATCATTGTAACAGGGAAAATTATCATGGGAAAAGAGCAAGAGGAATAGAAAATAATGGACATATGGATGGAAATGGGATGGATTTCAGACCAGAAAATGGTACTTAGCCAAAAGGGAGTGAGAGAAAACTGCACCACGGGGTAGGAATGCGGAGGCAAGAGGACAAGGATGTTTACGATAAATTCAGGTTTAGAAAAGAAATTGCTCTTCGAGTAAAGCCTTTCTTCTTAGGTGCCTGCGAAGAACAAAAATAGACAACTTTAAGAATCTCTTTATTTTCAGAGAGGCCTCAATCATGATGTATTGATTCTAAGTCAAAGATGTGCAATTAAGTGTAGTTTCAAAGGTATCATCCAGGCCTCCTCCTTTTTTCCCAACAATTTCTCTGTTGAACAGACTCTAATTCTCAAATGTAAGGTTGCTGACGATTGCCAGGGTCCTTAACACAAGTATAAAATTCAAGCTGAGTTTTCATGAACAATGCTGTTTTCAAAATTCAATTGTGCAATAGTCAGCTTGAGACTCTTGTGTGGCCTGGCCCAGCATATCTGCACATCTCTGCCTCTGTTTCCACATCTCTTCCTCTGTGTCCACTTATATCTTTTGGGAAAATAGCAACTTTAGAACCCAACTCCAATGGCTATAGTGAGACTGAAATGAATGACAAGTGCATTAAAAAAGTTAATATGCTATACTATAATGAATACAATAAAATAGTATAAAACAATATAGGATGTTCTATATCCATTCTTGTTAATCTCCCAAAGCCTAGGTCAAATGATGTCTACAAAAGACTTCGTGTCTCGGCCAAGCCAGGTTTAGCCACTGGGCCCACAGCACTACTTGTCTCTGCTATAAACCATGTTATCCTCTGCCTGAGGTTAGGGTTCGCTTTGTTTTGACACTCTCCTCCACTAAACCATTTGTTATTTACAGAGGGGGCCATGTCTTCATGTTCTCTTGATTTCTGTATTTCCCACCAACTTAGCACAGTGCCTTACCCCTAGAAATAAGGGGTAAGACAATAGTAAACTGAAGTAGCCAAATCAAACTAACTACTAATATTTGTAAAGTGCTTTACTGAGAACATTCACGTATAGCAGAGTAGTGTAGTGCAACAGGTGAATGAGCATCCCCAGGCATACCCAATGGGAGGTTCCAGGCCAGCAAGGAGAGCTAGCTTGCTCTGAACACTGCCTTGTAAGATAAGACCATAACTCCTTTTTTCCACCTCCTCCCAAGACTCTCCCCTACTTCACCCTTGAACCCAGTGTGAAGATCACAACTCCAGAAGTTAATTTGTTAAATTTGGCATTCATTCCCAGAGTGCCAATTCCTTGGGTCAAAATTTAGACCCTTTGGACTCTGGACTTAACAGCCTCATTTTGTTCTTTTAACAGTTAACCACCATTTCCTAAACACTTCACCCTCTGTTGCTTTTATGTTTTTGCTCATCTCTTCTATCTGGAAATCTTCCCTATCTCTCTATGAGAATCCTAATATTCCTTCAAAGTCTAGGTAAAATGCCATGGCCTCCATGAATTCCATGAAAAAGAAAGAACAATGGATGTAATATATTTAGACTTGCAAGAAGAAATGTCATGATGTAATCCTAGCACTTTGGGAGGCCGAGGCATGAGGATTGCTTGAGCCCAGGAGTTCGAGATCAGCCTGAGCAAGAGTGAGACCCCGTCTCTACTAAAAATAGAAAAATTAGCTGAGTGTAGTGGTGCACACCTGTGGTACCAGTTACTTGGGAGGCTGAGGCAGGAGGATAGCTTGAGCCCAGGAATTTGAGGTTGCTGTGAGCTATGATCATGCCACTGTACTCTAGCCAGGGTGACAGAGCAAGACTCTGTCTCAAAAAAAAAAAAAGTCATGAGTTTCAAAATCATATATTGTTAAAAAAAAAAAAAGACCAAACCATTGCTATTATGGCATTTTCTTGTAGGGAGGGCTAAATATAAGAACATATATTGGAATAAATGATCACTTGATCCTGTTTTCTTAATTAAGAAAGCAAGGTCAACACCTAAAAACAATAATGGGGAATGAAGTTTTAGAGGCTGGAGAGAGGAAAAGAGGATGGTCTAAGGAAATGCAGCTATGTAGCACTTGAGGTTAGTAGTCATGAATTGAGAGCAAGACCAGTGGTCATGGTCCCATTTTTCTCTAGTTATATTCAGCTATGTGTCAGGATGTGAGTAGGTGGAGAATGGGAGTAACCAGGGTTGCAGTTTGTTAGATGTAAGGAGCCACAAAGTTTAGGGCATGTGCAAAGGAGTAATGATAGTGATGAACTATGGGGTCTAAGCTGGTAAGGGAACTGCTCATATTGGGAGGTTTGGATGAGGGGCAATGAAAAACAGTAGAATCAATATATTTTAGGTTCCATCGAAATTGAAGAATTATTGCAGTTGGAGTTACCACATGTAGATAGTGGTCAGAGTGTGGGATGCTCAGAAAGGAGAGTATGAGGGGTTGCAGTAGTGGTAATGACAAGGCCCAGGATGTGGGTGCGTGGAAGCAAATGGTGAGGAAGAATGGAGGACAATATCAGTGAAGGAAAAGAGATCAACGGTCTCTGACTCTACTTGAATAACTACTTCAAATCCCCAATACATAAAATATTTACATTCTCTATATTGTTAATTTTTGACAAGAAAAGATACAAGAAACTGAGATGTATCGCAACCTTTCTCAAATGGGGTTCTCTCAGAAAAAATGATTTAAGTAACTATTTTCTCAATTATATCAATGATGAAAAATAGCTAGTACCATTCTAGGTGAATAGGAGGTAAGTCATTTCATTACATACAATGATGTGTTAGGACAATCATTTTCTCATGAACCCCTGGATGAGAAATGTAGAGAGAAAAGGTCTCAGAATAAAAGAAGTAAGATTTTAACTTTTTCCTAAATAATATACTCATTTTATCAGATAGCAGTTTAAGATTTGCAAAGTACTTTTACATGCATATCTCATATGATCCTAATAATAACCAGATAAGCTAAGCAAGTAAGATATAAGATATAAGGCAAGCTCCAAGATAAGCAGGTGAGATAAGCAGCCAAGGTATAATTCAGCTATAATTATAATTTTTGTTTTATTGATGAGGCAAGTGGGAGATATGTTAAGTGACAGGGCTGCAATGCAGGTTTTCAGGCTCCTCACCCAGGGCACAATCCACTCTTCCCTATAACTTCGATTTTCAGCACAAACAAGTGTTAATTGTCTGTGAAGCCTTTCCCCTTACAATCCTACTCCACATAATATCCTTCTGCTGCACTGTATCATATGTCTCTCTGATCCTCCACTAGACTTTAAACTCTTCGGAGACAGGGACGGTGTGTTTTTAATATTTGTATATCTAGAACTCAAAAATATTAATGGAAAAAAGGAAGTTAGGAGGAAAAATGTAAAGATTAATTTATTAGAAACTTAAACTTTGTAGAATGTAAATATTGTGTGTATTTGGGATGTGAAGTAGTTATTCAAGCAGAGTCAGAAATGAAATAATTGTTTCATGAAGAAAATCTGATGGCACGGTTAGGTTTTGATAGAAAACCCTAAGAGGAAACATGAAAGCTATTTCTAAATATCTCAAGTTATCATATAAAAGAGAGCAGTACTTCATGTTCTTCTAAAAAGCAGAAAAGGGTATCAGCAAATAAAAGTTGTAGAATCTCCTAGGCAAAAGCTAAATATAGGTCTCTCTTCTCACAGGTAGTGATCATCATTAAAGGACTGAGTAGCTTGTAAGAACATCCAGTATTTATAGCAGAGGGATGACCAGACTGTAGTTGAGTAATGTCATGCTATCATTATATATCTCTACTCTAGTAAGCATCATAAACAGATTCTCTTAAAAGATGATTACTTAGTAGGAAGTCTAGAACAGCAGGCTTTTGACTGTGGTTCAGTGCAATATATGACTTTTTATTTTTTTTTTTTAGAGACAGAATCTTGCTCTGTTGCCCAGGTCGGAGTGCAGTGGGGTGATCATAGCTCACTGTAGCCTTGAACAAATGAGCTCAAGCGAACCTCCCACCTAAACCTCCTGAGTAGTTAGAGCAATAGAAATGTGCCACCAAGCCTAGCTAATTTTTTAAATTGTTTTTGTAGAGATGAGGTCTCACTCTGTTGGCCAGAGTAGTCTCGAACTAGTTGCCTCTAGCGATCCTTCCGGCTTGGCCTTACTAAACACTGGGATTGTAGGTGTGAGCCATAATATATGACTTTAAAAAAAAAAATTCCACCTCACTGGTACTTAAACAACATTAATTTTGGTTTGAGCACTACCCATTCTTTCTGGATATTCTTTTATATACAGATATAAGTATAATACATTTTATATAATTGTCAATTTATACAAGAATTATTCTGAGTTTACTCACTTTTTTTACAATATATTTCCTTTTCTCCTTGCAATAGGACAAGACAAAAAAAAAAAAAAAGAAAATGGGCTTTTTAAGTCCAATATGTGTCATTTTCTTCTTTTTTGGAGTCAAAGTATATTGCCAATATGAAACTTATCAATGGGATGAAGACTATGACCAAGACCTGGATGATGATTACCAAACAGAATTCCAATTTCATCAAAGTGTAGAATATGGAGTTCCTTTTCATCGGTATACTTTAGGCTGTGCCAGTGAATGCTTCTGTCCAATTGACTTTCCATCATCAATGTACTGTGACAATCGCAAACTCAAGACTATCCCGAATATTCCGATGCATATTCAGCAACTCTACCTTCAGTTCAATGAAATCGAGGCTGTGACCACAAATTCATTCATCAATGCAACTTATCTTAAAGAAATTAACCTCAGCCACAACAAAATTAAATCTCAAAAGATTGATTACGGTGTGTTTGCTAAGTTTTCAAATCTACTACAACTTCATCTAGAACATAACAATTTAGAAGAATTTCCATTTCCTCTTCCTAAATCTCTGGAAAGACTCCTTCTTGGTTACAATGAAATCTCCACACTGCAGACAAATGCCATGGACGGTCTAGTAAACTTAACCATGCTTGACTTGTGTTATAATCGTCTTCATGATTCTGTGTTAAAAGACAAAATCCTTGCCAAAATGGAAAAATTAATGCAGCTGAACCTATGTAATAACAGATTAGAATCAATGCCTCCTGGTTTGCCTTCTTCACTTATGTATCTATCTTTAGAAAATAATTCAATTTCTTCTATACCAGAAAAATACTTCGACAAACTTCCAAAACTTCATGCTCTAAGAATGTCACACAACAAACTGCAAGACATCCCATATAATATTTTTAATCTTTCCAACCTTATAGAGCTCAACGTTGGACACAACAAATTGAAGCAAGCACTCTACATTCCAAGAAATTTGGAACACCTATACCTAGAAAATAATGAAATAGAAAGTATGTACAATTTTGTTTTCTAAAGAGAGAAAAAATGATATTTTGACTTTTTAAAGAAACAATCTTTAACAATTTATGCTTTAGACATTGCTGAAAATGGTTGTTTTGAAGTTGGCTAAGGAAATGAAATAAATTGGCCCCAGAGAAAGGTGTGCTATTCAGTTTATAGTCCTTTTTATTAAATTTTATCACCTTGAATATTGAGAAATAATACTATACAGCATATGAAGAAATATTACTATCCCAAGTAGTGGGACTGTAGTTGATTTTTACTTTTTTTCTTGAGATTGTTCTACTAAGAATTTATTACTTAAATTAGAAAAGCCAATGAAGGCATGTTTATTCTGGCACTATAAAACTCATTTATAATTTATTTTCTTCATTTTATTATTTGATTAATGTAAAAAAATTAAACCTAATTACACCTATAAGTATTTTAATTAATAAAATTATATCCCATATAACATAAAATCCAACATAGAATTATGGATATAATGCAGGATTAATTTTTAATTTGTATTTTTCAGAGATCAATGTTACAATGATGTGTCCATCTATTGACCTGCTACATCTCCACCATTTAACATACCTTCGTGTGGACCAAAATAAGCTACAAGAACCAATAAGCTCATACATTTTCTTTTGCTTCCCTCATTTACATACTATTTACTATGGTGAACAAAGAAGCACTCATGGTCAAACAATACAACTGAAAACACAGGTTTTCAGGAGATTTCAAGATGATGATGATGATGATAGTGATGATCATGATAATTCTGATGGAGCTCACGAGGACCAAGAAGCAGCAGCAGCAGAAGGGCACTTTGACCCTCATTATTATTAAATTCAAGAATGGCAAGAAACTAAACAGGTATACATTTGTGACTTCACAAAACTTTACTACTCAATATGGTAAATCTAACTACACATGTATTGCTCAAAGTAATATATTTAGAATTATGTATAAGATCAGAATTGAATTTAAGTTGTTGGTGACATCTCCATCACTACATAGTATTAGAACTTACTCAAAATAATACAAATCTTTAGGAATATAAAGAAACCATTAAGGTTTCCTATACTCTTTTTAAACATGGAAATACCATCAAATTGTAAAAAAGTGAGTATGCCATTTCTATTATCAGTAATTTTTCTAAGAATGATGAAGGAAGTAGCATTAGCAGTAGAGATCTGGAAGCCATGACCTTTTGATCATTCTGAGGACAATATGTATTTGAATGACAGTCACATTAATGTAACAAGAATTCATTGAAGGAGTAGATTTTTTTTTTTTTTTTTTTTTTACTTCATCTCCAGAAAAGCTTTCACACTTGTACTTTTTTGATCTCATCACTATGACATCCACCCCCCGGCTCATCATTTAGAGTATAGAATAGTTTTGATTTTCAAGAGGCGACCCTACCAAGGCATGTAAGGCATACAGATTTCTTAAATCGACTAATTTTGTTCTCAGAGCACCCAAGTAACAAAATTATAAAGCCTATATTTAGATAACTAAAAAATAACAAATTATCTCATTGTAATGTGTATTTTACCAAATTTTACCAACTGTTCAAAACAATCTTTATTGTGTTCCATTTTAACTGGGATAAATGTTTTTATATTATAGTAAATTCAACCAGAGAAAGGTCTCTTTTAGTTACATAAAAATGTGCTAATAAATAACTGCTTTGTTTACAAGGTTAAATTTATGTTGGTATTAATAAAATAAAGTTCTATTAATATCATTAGATACCTCTGTTTTCCTAGCACAATACATTAGAAACATATAATTCTTATCAGCCAATGTTTATTTACATTTGGAGTATCTACATAATGCTAAAGTTAAACATAGTTCCCTTAAAATGTGAACAACAGGTTTTAACATCTTCTTTAAAACCTTAAAAATCACTTTTTCTTTAATCTATAATTTTGAAGTATTTTAAGTAAGCCTTACTACGAAGATTAACTGTTGTGATGAACTCTCTTGATTTATCAGGCTAATATTTCATAGAATTCCTTAGATGAGGGACAAATACAAATCTGGAGCCACTTATACAGGGAACCTAAAAACAAATAACAATTCAGCCAACATGTGACAGATCAGCAAAACTGCATTTTAGAAGTAGTTTTCAAGCTTTTGAATCTTTATTTTTCTGGAGATACCAGTTTTAACTGAAGCCTTTAATGCTCTTTACATCTTTGAGTAAGTTATTAGCATTATCAGAACAAAAAGGCCCACCTGCCCCTAGGGACAACTTCAATGATCCAGAATGAATATGAAAAAAACTCCATTCATTCAATCAACATTCACAAAGTCACTGGGTATACAGGGGTAAGCAATGAGGAATAAAGAAATGGAGCACAATGTGCAATTGTGACACCCTAAGATATAAGTGTGAAAGTAAAGGTAAGAGTAAAATGCTAGTAATGTGGGCAAAGCACACTTTCAACAGAGGTAAAAAAAAAAAAAAAAAAAAAAAAATTTAAGGATCACCTCCCTTTTTCTTGAAATTTTTAAAAACAAGGTTATAAATTCAAACATTTATTAAGAACTAGTATGTGGAAAATACCATGGATGTTTCAGTAGACAAAGATATGACTACTTCTAACCTAGAGCAATTTAAAATTTAATGAGGAGCCATCATATCAGATACCACTTCGCACTCACCAGGATGGCTGAAATCAAAAGACAGACAAGTAACAAGTATTGGTGAGGAGGTGAAAAAATGAGAACCCTCATACACTGCTGAAAGGAGTATAAAATGGTGCAGCTGCTTTGGAAAGCAGTCTGGCAATTCTTTAAAAAGTTAGAGTACATATAACACAGCAATTCCACTCCTAGGTATATACCCAAGAGAACCGAATAAACGTTCACACAAAAATTTGTGTATGAATGTCCATATCGGCATTATCCCTAAGAGACAAAAAGTGGAAACCACTCAAATGTCCATCAATTGATCAATGGGTATATCTACACAATAGAATATTATTCAGCAATAATAAGTAATGAAGAACTGACACATCCTACAACATGGATGAACCTTGAAACCATGCTCAGTGAAAGAAGCCTGTCATAAAAGAACACATACTGTCTAATGCCATTTATAGGAAATGTCCAGAATAGGGAAAGCTATAGAGACAAAAAGACTATTGACTGCCTAAGGCTAGGGGGATGGGAATTGGAGAAAGTGAGGAGTGACTATTAACGTGTATAGGGTTTCTTTTTTAGGGTGATGAAAATGTTCTAAAATTGATAAAATTGATTGTGGTGACAGTTGTACAAGTCCACAAATACTAACTACTATTGAATTGTATGCTTTAAAAGGATAAATTGTATTGGATGTGAATTATCTCAATAAAGCAGTTATTTTAAAAATTCAATAAAGCTAGCTGGGCATGGTGGTGTGTGCCTATAGTCCCAGTTACTCTGGAGGATAAGGAGGGAGGATCATTTGAGACCTGGAGTTCAAGGCTACAGTAAGCTATGATGGTACCACTCTACTCCACCCAGGGAGACAAAGAAAGACTCCAATTCTAAATAAATAAAAGAATAAAATTATCTTTAAAATTTAATAAAGAAAAGATTGAACAACTCATTCTAACATAAGCAAGAAAGAAATAAAATGCAAAATGGCAGCAACTATAAAAACAGTGTGAGCAGGGATACCATAACTTTCACATCTGGAGAGGACCTGGTAAAGCTGTTGATGTCTCCCAGGAAGAATTGATTGCTGTGTGATAGAAACTGATTGGCAGAAGTGGAGAGAATAAGCTCTTGACTGGGACCAATATAAAGACATGGTAATTACTCGTTTTACCTCTTGCATAGTTTAAAAAATTAAAAACCCTCCAATTTCTGGAATTCTGAAGTTTCGATTTTTATCTCCTCATAAATTAATAAAATACACTTTAATTCTCAAAGAACAGCCTTAACAAAGAATAAAAATGCACGATTCAGTAATTCAAAAAACAAGGAATTTGATATTAGATGTACATTGATATAAAGCCTGACTATACTTATAAGCTAGGTTACTTTGGTTATTTAGCTTCTCTAAGCTTCCCTTTCCTCATTTTTAAAGGAAGATGATTCTCATATGGTTGTCATAAAGATAAAGAGAAATCATGGATATAACAAAGCACTTAACGTGCATGCCAGTTGGAGATATCCAATAAACTGTAACTCTCATTCCAGCATGTCTCGCCCAGGAGCTCACACACAGATCCAGGTGCTGCACACTCCCAGCTGCTCACACTGGCTTTCCCGCACACAGAATGGAGTCAGCATCTCTTTGGATTCCTTCCAACATTCTACTTGCACAAAATATTAGCAGATAAGACAGACTTTAATAAGGGTTTCATTAGGGTGCTTAAATCACATACTCCACAACAAACAAATTCAAAGTCACTACTGTATAGTTCAACTTTCCAAAGCACCCTTCTGGATGGCCCACCAGGGTGAGGACGGCAGGGTTTCTTCCATCCCCCTCACAAGGCACTGGGCTGCTGGCTTCTCTGCCCCAGAGTGTGGCCAAACTCCTCCTGTATATTAGGAATAACAGTTCAATTCTGCTCTGGCTCCTCCCTCCAAAGCTGTGTGTAAGTAAATGCATCCCAAAATGTCCTCCAGATCAGGGCCCAATGAGGAGGCAGCTTAACCATTTTTTGTTATTTGAAAATGTCCTAACTCAAACCCACCAAAGTATTTCTTATTAAAAGCAAAACAAAAACCCCAATGCTTTCCTTAGAGAAAATGAAGAATAAAGTATTTTCTTCAACTAGTACATCAAGATTGCATAGTTACATATCAGAGCTACAGATTAAACCAGTTGATTTGATATTTATAACAGGAAAAACATGAAAATTCATTTATTACTTTTCTCCTTATACCACAAAGTACTCAGTTATATTAGCTAATAGGCTGAACTATTTGTAACCATTAACAAATCCAAACCATACCATAAATCCAAGCTTAATTAACATGCAAATGTATAATGAATATACATTTAGCTTTTAGAAAGGATATTTTCAAAAGGATATTTCATAAATAATACTGATGGAGAATGTTTAGCCTATGTTTAAACATTATTTAATACCTGAAACACTATACGTTTTCACTTTATTACTCAAGTTGGGACCACTAAACTAAAATACAGATGTATGCATATCACATAACACACTTAACTAGCTCCATGGGGAAAACAACAAAGTAGAAGAAATAAAACTTGTCTCTTCTATATACTTTTTCTGTTTTAAGAATTCATATGTCCCAAAGGATGGCTAGAACTAAAACCCTGGTTTCCTCATTCCAAATCTATTTTTTCTAAATCTTGGAAATAAAGAATAAGAGCAGCTGGAAATGAAATTAAATCACAACAGCAAAAAATCCAAAGTTCCTTATATGCTCCAATTTCCTAAATAGATATAACTATGCCAAGTTATAGCTATGTCTAGTTACAAATATCACAACATCATGGACACATCTAGCATCACTTTATGTGTTTAGGCTGTGAATTCTCTATAGAGAATTATGTACTACTGAGAAAAACTAAATTGCAAATACGATACATTTTCACTATGAACTATTCCTTACATTGAGTAATAATTCCCCTCCATTTAAATTTCACTTTTTACTCTGGGAAGTACTTTGGTTCTCATCTCTCTCGTTTGAACAAATGACTAGGCTTTGAGCATGAGATTTGAGATAGCGATCCAAATCACAGACTTTCCATAAGAATGTTGAATTAGAAAGGGTCTATAAGTATCTAGCAACTCAGCAGTTTTCAACAGGAGCGATTTTGCCCCCAAGGGACAACTGACATGTCTGGAGACATTTTTGGTTGT